CATAAACTCTGTCAAAACGGTGCACAATCCATCATATAAGGCCTACAAGAGTGTCAGCTCCATGCAGGGGTCAGTCAAGCATAGGTCAGGGTCAAGGTCAGGTCAACCGGGCAGGCACATATCCCCGAAAATAAAAACTGATATTCGCAGCCTGTGACACATGTTTTATGGGTAATTTGGGGCGTAGAACACGATGGTGACATTCATTTTATCATATGTGTACGTGTTTGGCTAAAAAAGTTCAATTTAAGAAATTCATGTATCACGTTCGTGAAGTAGTCACGAGAAATTGCCAAGATTCAGTTCAAGATTTTGGAAAATGCGGAACGATAATCAATAATCGAAGATAGCCATTTGATTCTTCATGGTATTGGCAGTCTAATGGCGTTTACGGCATGTCTATATGTCTATTGTGTGATTTTATATGATTTTTTGAACATATGCCGTTTTTGGTCGAAAACTCAGAAATCATGACGTCACTAAAACCTGGATATCTCAAAAATTTTCCGACCGATTTTTTTGAAACTTTGACACAATAAACTTCAATCAATTCCCTACAGGTACCCAAAATTTGGCGCGCCTGCGGCGCTCCGTTTTTATGCTATGGCCCGGCGAAAAAAGTGGGGGCGTTTAACGCCCCCCCCCCCCAGCAACTCGCGGGTTAATAAAGGATTCAGGCCATCTAGCTAAATGTTCCCATGAGCACAGGCCCCAAAAATGCACAGGCCTTCACTCCATGTCCATCACAAACTTAGCAGCAGATCAAGAGGGTGTCATTAACACCCATCAGCTTGGTCAAATTTAAAGCTGCAGTGATGTCCCAAAATTGTATCTTTGTTTGGGTGGCATTGGTAAAATTTATCACCAAAAACTAAAAAGGGATGAGATGCAAACCTGCCAGTCATACAAGGCCCAAAAAAGTAGAAAAGGGTCCATAACATAACATAACAAGAAAAGGGTCTAGTCAAACGTTGTAGCACAGTATTCTGTCATTTTAGTCCTCATAAACTTGTACGTACTGTTTTAAAAATCCCACGTCACCGTCAGCCACCGCGGACTGTTCGATCTCGTTGTTTGCGCCGTGTTTCCCTCGTTCAACTTCACTCGGACCTTCTACGCACTGATTGGACACCTGTGTTTTTAGCGCCCACCGTCACTGTCAAATGGAATGTTTTTACCGGCATTTTCTTACCGATTATTGACTACCATGCGCCCATGCGGACCGTGCGCATTAGGAACGTTCGTGCCCCCGCCGTTAGTGACGACACCCGTTCTCTGATGTCTCGCCGCCGCGCCGCGCTAGCCCCTCTCGGCCACAGCTCCAACGAGTACAAGGAGCTCAACCGCGCTGTACGTGCCGCTATTAGGAGTGACAGCTGTCACGATATCCAGCGCCGTCTACGCGAGGAGGGGAGTGGCTCTCTGTGGCAAGTTATTAGGCCAGCGGTCGAGAGTGGGAGAGCCGGGCACAGGCTGCCTGACGCCACGCCCGATCAGCTGAACAGTTTCTTTGTCGGCGTAGGTCCGCGTGTCGCCGGCGAGGTTAGAGATGCAGGGGAGACACCTGACCTGCCGTGCCGACTGCCACGTGTTGGAGCCTGTGCTTTTACCTTGACGACCTTGTCGCTGTCGGAGTTGAGGGCTGTCGTACTCGGCATGAGCGGCTCGGCCGCCCGCGGAGAGGATGGTATTTGCGCGCGCATGGTCCGCATGTCCTTTGACGCGATTGGCCCGGTGCTCCTGCATTTGGTCAATTCCAGCATCTCTCTATCGGATGTCCCTCAATCCTGGAAACATTCCCTCGTACACCCCATCCACAAAACCGGTGATCCTTCAGATCCATCAAATTTCCGGCCAATCTCTATCGTTCCTATTATATCCAAAATTGTAGAGAAAGCCGTACATCAACAGCTCTACAGTTACCTATCCAACAACCATCTCCTCTCCCCCACTCAGCACGGTTTTCGGCCTCGTCACTCGACTGAAACCGCGCTGATATCCATATCCGATCACATCCTATCCGCTACCGACCGTGGAGAGCTATCCCTTCTCTGCCTGCTGGATTTGAGCAAATGTTTTGATGTGATAGACCACGATAAATTATTGACTAAATTGCAGCTTCATGGTATTGATACAGCTTGGTTTTCGGCATATCTTCACGGCCACACCCAAAGTGTCAGCCTCACTGACGCTCTGGGTGGAAGAACTACTTCATCTCCGCTCCCCAACAGCATCGGTGTTTTCCAAGGCTCCGCCCTCGGCCCTCTTCTCTATTGCATTTTTGCCAACGACCTTAGCTTGTTCGCCGAGGATGCAGTCGTAGTTCAATATGCAGACGACACCCAAATTTTGGTCAATGGAAAAAAGTCAGAAATTCATAACGTAGTATACCGGATGGAACAGACGCTAGCTTCTCTTGACCTCTGGTTCCGTGCCAACGGCTTAAAAGTCAATGCTGGGAAAACTCAGCTGATGCTGCTGGGTAGCGCTCAAAATTTGCGCAATGCCCCAAATGTTACGGTAAAATTTCGCGATCACGTTATCATTCCCGTTTCGGAAGCACAAAATCTTGGCCTGACGTTCGATCGCAACCTCACCTGGAACACTCACGTCTCTGCCGTCACCCGGCGCTGTTTCGGCATTCTCAGTGGCCTATCACATCTCAGGGGGCGCCTGCCTCCGTCCGTCATCTCCGTGCTGGTCAACGCCTTGGTTCTCTCGCAGCTTCGATACTGTATCACTGTCTATGGCAACGGTTCGAAGAAGAACCTTGCACTCATTCAGAAGACTCTAAATTATGGGGCTAAAATCATTTTCGGACGCAAAAAGTATGATCACGTGTCGGACCTGCTTGAGAAGCTGCGTTGGCTCAGCGCGGAGAACCTTGTGGTGCATGGCACACTGTGCATGGTGCACAAACTGCTGCGCTTCGGTGAGCCCGAGGTGTTAGCCGCCGGTTTGTCAACCGTGGCTGCCGCTAGGAGCTCACTAGGAGCGCAAGCTAGGGTGACCCGACAGGACCACTCACTATATGTGCTCCGATCTAGAACCGAAGCAGGCAAGAGGCGCTTCATCAGCCGTGGTCCGGTTCTTTACAACCGCCTGTCACCCGATTTGCTCGGGCTCCCGGTGCCTGTTTTTAAGCACCACCTCAGGCGGCTGCTGACGGATCCAACCTGACTGAGTTGAGCTAACCATCTGGTGTGTATGTGTGCTGGTATTGTCTGTATCTATGTTTCTTGTATTATCTTGACTATGATGTATGCGAGTGTGATTGTGATGCTTGTCTCTCTTTATCTTGACTTTGAAACCACCGTTTTAATTTTTGACGAGAGGATGTAATAGCCGCTTTTGGTGGATTTCCTTAATACACGTCTGAGTCTGAGTCTGAGTCTAACCTTGATGCATTGGATCCATAGTATGGATCCCTGATATAAAGGATCAATTTATGTGCAGTATAGTAGTAAGTAATTTATAATTTATGTGCAGTAAGTAGTTGATGTGCAGGTGTGGTAAAATGTAACATATGATGTAACTATCCTTACACATTCTTTTTCCTTAGTATCTACCAGAAAAATTTGACTTAAGTACATAGTTACTCTGAAAGCATTACAATCACTCCAAGTGCCTTTGACTTAATGGTTAAAGGCAGTCAGGCACTGCTAAAATGATCCCAATTAAGAAAACACAAACTGTAAATTCAAAGCTTTCGTGTCATACCCCCCAACAGAAAACACTTTGTCACACAAACATGCATGTCACATCTGTGCTAATCTACAGTTGATCGTTTGTTTATTGGGACTTAAGGACACGCCAACTACAAGGTCATTTTGTGCCCATATCTACAGTTTATCAGTCTCACAGTTTATCAGTCTCAAACAGTTGATCTGAATGCAACATTCACAGCATAATGATTAGTGCATTCATCAAGTTTCACCCAAACCCATTCGCCTCCCCACCCCACACTAAGTGTGAAACCCACAACACAGGAATCAACTGGTTTATCCAAGTTCGAAAGCTCACTTCACAATTCGCGTCACCTTGTACCCTGCACATTACAACCACAGAATGAGCTGCTCATCCTCAAACAATTGAGAGGTGCAGCTAGATTTTTGAGCATCAGAAAATGCACAAAATAGCAGGTCAAAGCAAGGTGAACGTGAGAAAATCAACAAAAACAGTTGCTCACCTCGAGATGACGACAGAATCATGTCCGGATATTTCGGGTTGGAGGCGATCTGGGTGACCCATCCATTGTGTCCCTCCAGGACACCCTTCAGGTGAAGGGTTTCGTGAGTGTCAGTCATGTTTAAAGACACCGATTTGTCGGAAAATCCGCAATTTCACATCCAACACAGCACTATCGACGACAGAACGCTGTCGCCGACCATGAAAAGGAAGCGCACCGTTGCCGAAAATTATAACATACTTTGCAGTGAAGACCTGTGAAATAAAGAATAAAAAGGCATTTGTTGATTCACAGTTATTTCATAATGTTTCATTTATCAAATTACAAAAATTAAAAAGGTCACTTTTCCTAGCTAAGGAATAAATAACTAGGAATAAATAAATAATTTATCTAGTATGATTATCCTCGCAGATATTTTTCTACTACTAGTCTATATAACCCAAAACAACAAAGTAAGTGCAAAGAACACATTCTTGGGAACTATACTTAATTTAATGCCCATAATTGTGTATTTCAGTGAAAATAACGTTTTTGTTAGAGCAATAACTGCTGGATAAGGAGCACCTTTGGAATATGTATGCTATATAGAGGTGGCAAGTACCGCGGAATGGTTCACTCTTGTTAGTAGAAAGCCATATTTATGCAATTTATTGATACAAGACCTTAATCGTAGATTTTTCAGCCAAAACAACAAATGAAGCATACCAATAAACACTCCTGTAAATTATGAAATCGATAAAATTACGAAAATTTCATTTTAGGTGATTCAAGTACTTAGCGGCAGTGCTCAGGAGAGTTGGGTACTTACTGCTCTAGTCGCAAGCCGCCTCTCTGCCGTGAAAACTCGATGGCCGTTTGTGTGTTGTGATTTGTGTGTGTTTCGTGCGAATTGTGTGAGGGGTGTGGCTTTGTAATTGGATCCTTACAGCGTTATTTTAAAGGTAATTGTTGGACCAAAAAATGCATCGGTGTTTTCTTTGCATGACCCTCATTTGCACTGCTTATTTGTCGGGGCGGGTACCTTCCTTTAATTTGAGGTTTGCCCCCTCGCCGCATTAGGTGTATGGGATTGAGTTGAGTTCCTTTTGAAATGTTTTTGTCAGTCTGTTTAAATGGCGTCATAAATTATCCTCTACTTACAGTCTAACACGTCCATATTCGACATGTGCATGGATCCGAGAAAATGGATTGGGGTATGATTATTTTTTTTTTATTATTCAGGCTTCCCTCCAACGGGCACTTGTGGCCCATTTACAGGAGGGCTCCTCCTCCTCCTGGCCCTCGTTCCCCCACCCCCCAGGCTACGGCTGAAGTGGGAGCCTACCCCACACCTGGTGACACAGCCGGGGACGACGCCCGCGGAACGGGCGGAACCGGGAATCGAACCCGAATCCGGCACCGCCCGCACCGCGGGTCGACGCCTTAACCGACTGCGCCACCAGGGCCACCAGGATCCCACAGAGCAGGATCCTGATCCATCTTGGATGGATCTTGGATTTATCAGGATCATAGATCCAGCTCTTTGATTTGTCAAGAGATCCATAGGGATCATAGATCAGAGTATTTTTTGCCTGAGATCCATGGAGATCATAGACCCTCATTTATTTTTGTCAACAGAAACAGAAACCTAAAAAAATCCCTTTGCATTTCACAAACATTTTGTTTTAATGATTTTGTGTGATTGCACAACATAATCAAAAGTTTTGTGGAACTTATTAACTTAGCAACACTTGGAAACCTGGTTCCAAATCACAAATGTTGTGCATGGTGGGATCTGCTCAGATCATAGATCCACGCTCTTGGTTTATCATCCTTGTCCTATGAATCATAGATCCTGATCCAGGATAAATTTTTCAAGCTGGATCTGGCAGAATCATGGATGCTAGCATGCAGTTTGCTCTGGGGTCCACAGAGATCATAGATCCATCACTCAGATCCATCCAGTTACTTCGTACTAACGTTTCAGCAAACCCATGCACACATCTCATCTATATCTTTCATTTTGAATCAATTCACCTACCAATTACCATAAACCAACCAACAGTCTATATAACAAATTTCACAAATGGCTTTGGTCCACACTCCACACCTGAGTCAGGAGGAGTCAGGACTATGACCATGTGTGTGACCCGACCCTCAACATTATCGGTAATGTTCATGTTATACCAGGCATCACAGGTGGTGCCACTGCCACCCCGGGCAAAGTAGTTAGATTTGCGAGCTCTTAAAATATATTTACACAAATTTTGCATGTCAAATAGTCATAAAATAGTCTTAAAACAAAATATGTGACCTAACCTGACCTAACATTGCCTTCTAGCTTACAACCTACTATCCTACATCATCACGTACAGCCTACATACCTTAACCTACAACCTGTAACCTGCCAATGTGTAACTTACAGCAAAATTTGTGTTGATATCTCCAGAGCTGGTAAATCTAACAACTTTTCACTAACTGGGGGAAGCACCTGCCCTGCCATGCCTTGCTACAAGATTAGGTACCCAAACATCTGTAAAAGCCATATTAGTTTACTTCAGGCACTCCAACTCTGGGGGTTAGAAGGGTTCCAAATCTTTCAACTGTTCTTTTGCTGTATGGCTGCTGTATGCTCTATAAAGGTGATCATCAGACATGTGCATGGATCTGAGAAAATGGATCTTGGATCTGATCCATTGGCCTGATCTCAGATCTGATGGGATCACACATCCAGCTCTTTAATTTTTCTAGAGATATGTAGGGATCATAGATCTGAGTTTTTTTTTTGCTTGAGATCCAGTGAGATCATAGATCCTCACATATTTTTGGTCAACAGAGAAATCCTCTCCCCCCCCAAATCACTTGTTGGCTGTTGCAACTCACAAATGTTGCATTATTGATTTTACATGGTTGTATGTCATGATCCATAGTTTTGTGGCACATATTGACTTAGAAACACTTGGAAACCTGGTTTCAAATGTTGTGCGTGGTGGGATCCACTCAGATCAAAGATCCTTTGTTTTGACTTGTCAGATCCTATGAGATCATAGATCCAGGATCAATCTTTCATGCCAGATCTGTTGGGATCATAGATCCTAACCTGCAGTTTTGCTTTGAGATCCACTGAGATCATAGATCCATCACTCAGATCCATGCACATGTCTGGACTGTGCATTTTCAGGGTGGACTCTTAATCCTGACACTGGAGGAGGCCCCTGTTAACAAGGTAAATTTCTGATCCTAGATTCCACCCATCTAGTCCCCTCCACTAGACATGAATCCTATCTTACATCACTGCTTAGAGTGGTCAGGTGCTTACTCACAGGCTAGGGATGACAGTGGTGGGAGTGTAGACTGTCAATAGACATCATTACTCTGGAATCATATAGATCATTGAACATGTTCAATGCTAGCTTTTATTGACCTTTTTCAGTGAGGTGCAGCCTCAACTAATGCAGGAAGCCACTGAATGAGCAAACAAGTTGTGAATGTTTGCACAAATGATTATCCTAAAAATGTGTTTTTGCTGTCAATTAGTTACACAATGAAATTGTCCTTTTATCTACAAAGATGTTTTACAGCTCATGAAGGTTGCAACCTAGGGTCTCTGATCAGAGATCTGATCATCTTTTGTGTACATTGGGCGCTAGCTTTGTTATGCCTTGAAATAGCGAGCGGGAATATGTAGTTTCAGCAAAATCATTCAACTTCAAAGTAGTCTGGATCAGTACTGGACCACACAATTGTAGCAGCCATTCTGCATTTCATATACTATTCCTAATGATATGGTATATTCATGATATGAACCCTGGTCTTCACCTTTGGTCTCCTACACCTTAGCATTATCTTTGCCATACCCTTAAATGGCCTTCAGGTGTGTTTTCGATGCTGCCATTTTCTGTTCATTTCCCTAACATGTATGCTTCTTGTTACAGGTTTAGATTGTGACAATGGATGACAAGGCATCACTAAAAGAGCTCGATCAGTGGATAGAACAGTTAATGCAATGTCAACAGTTGCAAGAAAACCAAGTCAAAACACTATGTGAAAAGGTAAGTCCTGGTTTTGTGCTGGGTTTCTTGGCTTTTTTTGTAGGTAGCATGTCAACCACATCATAATCATCACATCCTTAATGTGCATCTCTTGACGCATTACCTGATTCCATGAGGCGTTGCAAATTGATGATATATGCAAGATATTCACTAAATGCCACCTTGTAGCATATTTTATTGCACATTTGTAATGCTATCCACTGTAAACAATAGTACTAATTTTCTAAGTGTTCAGTGTTATAAATGGATTAAAATGGCCTGCAGTCACACAAGAAACCAAACCCTTATTCCAGACAAAACTTGGTCTTCCTTCTCCCCACCTTCAAGTCAAAATTCTGACCTCACCCAGGAGTCAAATGATGTGTATCTAGCGAATGCAGTGAACCAAAGGAGGTTCTCTCGCTAGAGTCGAGCATCCAGGGGGTACCCTAACCGCCCCCCCCCCCCCTCTCCTCCCAGGCGAAGGAGATTCTCTCGCGAGAGTCTAGCATCCAGGAGGTGCCCTAACCGCCCCCCTCTCCCCCAGGCGAAAGAGATTCTCTCGCGGGAATCGAACGTGCAAGAGGTGCGATGTCCCGTCACCGTGTGCGGAGACGTACATGGTCAGTTCCACGACCTTATGGAACTGTTCAAGATCGGCGGCAAGTCGCCCGACACCAACTACCTGTTCATGGGCGACTATGTCGACCGGGGTTACTACTCGGTTGAGACAGTCACACTGCTCGTCACATTGAAGGTGAGGGATGGGAGGGGGGAATGTGAGGGACGCGGAGGGGAGAATGCGAGGGAGAGAGACGGGAGGGGGAGGGAGCCGACCAGGACCTTCACGTGATTCTGACAGCCAACAGAAGTGGTGGGAGAAATATTATTTTACATTGTAACGTGCTTGTTGAAGCAATTAAGAACAAGATACACGGCTGAATACAAGCAGCTGGCCCACGTAGAACCGCCATTCTGGCCATACCTGGCCTTGAGAAAAAGGTCATCGCGAACAAGGTTACAAATTTGCACACCACGCCACAAAAGGGAGCGATCACATGGGCTGACAAGCGCGAGGATTAAAAATGTATCAGAGTCCAGTATCACTAACAGAAAAATCGCCGGCTGGGCGCAAAATGACCTTTGCAGTCGTCGCGCCCAAAAGCCCTAATAAACCAACAAAGCCGGTTGCTGCGTTTTCGTTAATCAGATTTTATTCCCAAAAACAATACCTTGTAGTTTGTAAACGGTCCATTTTACCATCGTCCTCAGGCTGCTGCTCAGGCCCGGTGCATTTTCTTTAGAACCATCACTAATCGGTTTCTATTCACGGGCAAGCAGCGACGCCAGCTCTCCCAGCCGATCCGCCACTCTCGCCCGATCTGCTATGGTGGCCTTAGTGTGTTTGACTGGGCGATAGCGATAAACAAACGCAAACCGGCGGCTGAAGCCGAGTGGGATCCGGCTACCATACACTGCGGTTTCGGGGGCTGAGTCATTGGATCCCGTATTATGCGGAGGGTGTTGTTTCATGTTTTTTGTTTCACCTGATTATTTGTTGTAGTAATTACCCAAATGTTTCGATGACCTGTTAGCCAATGCCTTTTCACTTAAATTAATCCTATTCAGCAGAGCGATGTTGGTTTGGAATTTATACAATAACTCGTTTTGGTTTCGAGGCAATATTCTAATAGCAGAGTTTACTGGGGTAAGGCTGAACTGTGTGGGCTACTTGTAAACGGTGTACATGACTGGTTGTTTGAGGCGACATTGATAAGTGTTCAGCTCCACTACAACTCTCTCGGAGACTTTAAACGCCTAGCTCAGTGTGGCTGATGGAATGTCACGTCTGTTGCTGAGCATTGCACTCTACTTACGCAGATGAACCATCTTCAATGGTATATCAGCTGTTAGTGATTCCAACTCACTTATGCTTTTCGTTTGGTTTCAGGTTCGCTTCAAGGAGCGGATAACCATTCTACGAGGCAACCACGAGTCTAGGCAAATTACCCAGGTGAGTCGACGCGTGCACGCGCTCATCCCCCTCCCCCCCCCCCCGCTATCGATAAATGTCATTTGTTGCTACGGCAACACATCCCTCCATGTCCACAATTCTCGAGCGTTATAGTGCTATCGGGCTCCGTGCAATCAAAGTCTCACAGATAATGGCGTTGGCGGTGTAGAGATGTGCGTCATAGAGTGTGAAATTCAGCCCCGCTGATCTGTGAAATATTGTCTCCGATCATCTGTGAAACTTCTGGGAGTGGAACTGCGTCATTAATCGATGGCAGACCGTCTGATGATGTGTGCAGTGATGTGTAAATCAATCGTGAGCTGGTATTGTGTTTTCTGCCGGTGTGCAACCTCGGACGTTATTCCCTAAACGATGCGTCAAGTTCAGCTCCCGTTATGTTTTGTGTGGGGCTGTGTTTTAGGGCTGAGCACTCTGTGACGTTTCTTCCATTGTGTGCTGAGCTCGTATCACCGGATCGGTGTATGCTGTCGCGAAGTGCCCGCCGCAGCGTAGCACGAGGGGATTATCCAGTTTTGGTCACAGTTCTGTGAACCACTGTGTGTATGTCAAGGTCGCGGGGAGTGTGCGCCGGAGTGGTTGGGAGGGGCGGGAGGGGAGTGGGAAGGGGTGAATGGGTGTGGGGAGTTGGCACCGAGCCAGCACCGATTGGGAGCGCTAGGGACGACTGAGCTCGCCCGGTGTTGGTTCCGATTACGAGTTATGTGGTTCTACGCGTGTTTTGAGAAAGCTTAAGATCCATTTTGCTCTTTAAGCTGGATAAAAATTGGCGTACTGGAGCTTGGAACATTTGGTATAAGCTTTGCCTGATGTCGCGATATTCGCTGGGTCTTTGACCTCTGCATCGGCCCGACCTGTCAGCATTCTGAAAATAGCTCCGTCTCATACCACTGGTCACGCCTTGCTCGCATCCATCATCCACGGTTACCAGGCGTTACATAGCTTTGGCCAGCTGTTAGACGTTTCTATCTGAAATTGAAATTCAAAGCGCTTCTTTCGCCACCTGTAACATCCCAAACCACCGAGGATCGCACACTTTTCCTGTCTCTCCGCCACAATTTCCCCTGTCGTCATTATAATCACGGACGACGGCTCGTTTATGAACAATATTATGATCACGGGCGGCGTCCCGTTTATCAACACACCGCGGGATCGGTGTGGTGCCTTCCGCGGCGACGCCTTCATGATTCGCCGTCGGTATGTGTGCCGGTGGTGCTGCCCTGACGGCCAAGGTCAAACACTGACCGACGCCTGGTCGACGAGCGGCTAGAGGATCAGACCCGTCGGTGTCCTATGGTGGGCAGGGCTGTGAGGGCGATGGGTTCGCGTCTGGGCACGCGCGTCTGGTAAATGCTCACGGAACGGACGTGTGAGCTGGCATTGATTGTGCTGGTTGTTTAGGCCATGAGACTATGATACTGTCTTAAATTGTGATAAGATATGTAAGTTAAGGTTGCACAGTGCACTGCTACGCTCATTTATAACATACCCCCTGTCATCCAGTGCCCTTCCATCCATCGACATTGTTGGATAGATGAACGTCAGTTATAAAATCAATAATAGCTAATACAATGCCGTCTGAAGTGTTTCCATCAAGGCCAGTGGTCGCCTCACCATTAACCCCGTAGGTCAGACAATTCAACCTGTATGCTTCCTCTTCCGCCCCTGATCATTCCGTTCCTTGCCTCCGTCTGCCTTATTTGTCTACCCTGTCTATCGTTTTTTATCGATCATGTGTGCGCACAGGCACTAACCCTCCTTGCCATTTCCTTTCCCACTGTTCACGTTGCGCGTCCCTTTCTCTCGGTTCTCGGCGCACGGCCCTCCAGGTATTAAGTGGTTGGTTGCCAACATCACAATAATCGATCTGCATTGATGAATACGTCTAATGGCTGTTGAAAACCACTGCCGAAATGTGTGCACGAACCCTCTTCTCATTTCTATTGAGTCATTTTACAGGAGTGTCTCTGTCATTTAAAGTTATTATACCAAAAGCACATAGGCTAACCAACCACTCTTTTGCTGGAGGACCGTACGTACGACCGGGCGAAGTATAACGGTGTCTGCGAGTGACGATGTGTGTGTGGTGTGAAATTCCGTACGGTTGGCCGGCGGAGCGGGACAACCCTGCCGCGGTGAGGATGGAAACGGGGGAGAGATGAGTGGGATGGCTGTGAGGGGGTGGAGGGAGACCGTATTAATGTATGAATGTGTGAATGAATGCATGAAAGTGTTATCAATGTACGAATGCATGAAAGTGTTGTTATAAATGTACGAATGCATGGGTATGAGTGTTGTTCACTATGAATCTTTGCATATGTGTGATAGAGCCGGAAATGTGAACAGTTCTTGTTTGAAATGAAGACAGTTGAGAGAAATGCGAAAGTGGGAGCCAGGAACGTAATGAGAAAATAAATACAACTGAGAATGGTCTTAGAAAGATAGCTAGGAGTTTGAACTCGAGCTATTGATCTACGAAGCACAATGCATGAAATTCCTATGAAACATCATGACTTTGCTATGAAAGATGACAACTTCCTTCATGTGCTCGATCACTCTGCTGGATCAGCTGAGTTTACCGCTGGCTCAGCACACTAGCCAACAGGTGGTTTCGCGTATCGAATGGTCCTCAGATAACTCATCAGGTGCTCCAATGCGATGTTCCCAATCGGTGACCTTTGACGCCCTTGCCCCGATGCTTAGTCAACCCTGACCTTTGACCCCTCCTACCATCTGTCATAGGCGGGTGTGTTTGGCCCTTCTAGCGCTGTTTTTACTCACGCTTTTTTGTGGGTTCTTGGCGATGTATCTCTGCGATAAAAAATGATGCTGCGGTGTAGAGTACGGTCGTTCTGTGTGTTTTGTGCCATTACCCACGGCAAGTTCTGTGCAGTGGTTTGTGCAGTGGCCATTTGTTGTGTTTCGTTGCCATAGAACCGATGATAATTGTGCTCTGTTGCCTGTAACACTAGCTGGGCGATCGATGCTGGTGTTTTCAATGCAAGCAATGATGTGGATACTGTGAAATAGGCTGGTAGACTGTTGTAAAACAATGGTCCAGGATAATCAGTTTATGGTGTCTTAAATCCATTAATTCGTCGGTAAATCGTTTTGCTATTCTCATTGGGCAAACACCAGCTGTTTGACGTCTGTGAAAGCCGGTACTTTTTTCAGAATGGCTTTGGTCCTTCTGTGAGACGAGTCTTGGTCTCACCTGCCCCAATCCGAACCCTCGCTGACCTTTTTACCCTTCCACCCGCAGGTTTACGGTTTCTATGACGAATGTCTGCGCAAGTACGGCAATGCCAATGTGTGGAAATACTTCACCGATTTGTTCGACTACCTGCCGCTGACGGCGCTGGTAGACAGTCAGATCTTCTGTCTGCACGGCGGCCTCAGCCCCAGCATTGACAGCCTGGATCACATCCGCGCCCTGGACCGACTCCAGGAGGTGCCTCATGAGGTCAGTCACATGCGAACTCTGAGAAATATCGAGTACTCGGGTCTGGGGAGCGGGCTGCAATAGTGTCGGCTTGGAAACGAATTGCCTGGAGCTTGTATCGGCGTAATGTTCATTTATTCATTCATTTTATTGTATTCCAGTCAGTCATACTTTTGGAGGCTTTCTCTCCGTAGCGCTTTTACATTTCGTTTTTCTTTTGCTGTTCGGGGTATTGCAGCCAGCAGTTAGGCCAGATTGACAAGTTCCCCAGTTCGTATTTCTATTCTGCGCTCTACCCCAAGAGCGTTCAATCGAGCCCACCATCCGTGTCGACATCTCTGCCGCTGTAGGGAGCGGCTCGTGCCAACGGCCTGTCGGAATAACCGCGTGTAGCTAGCCCGGTGCGGCCGGCAGGGTTCATCCCAAGTTCACTGACTGACCATCGAATCTCGTCGGTCGTCGGTGGGTTCGTCGATTTGTGTGACGTAATACCCGGGAGGATGCAATGACGGCACTGTGTCGGGAGAAGTACGATTGGATTACTCGCGGGTCTGATGCTGTTGGAAGCTGATTTCCCTTGTGACGTCTTCCTGCCAATCGCAGTGGTTATCCACTAAGCTTGTTCGTGGAGCCTAGGTCGATCAACGAGAATTAGAATCAACCTTGGCTAGGTTTATTTGTATTTTTGTTGATCGAATTTGGTTGTGATCGATATGACGTCAGGTCAGACCCGCAGTTCATTGGTCGGTTCTGCTGAACCATGACGCAATGATTCAGTAGCTCGCGCTCTGATCCAGCGAGCACCTTCGTGTATGAGATTCACCTGACATTGTCTGGCATCGGGCACATCGCGTGTCCATTACTGTCCTACTGGTGTCGGAATCCCGGAGCGCCGTATCCTGCCGTCCATAGCGTCAAAGCCATAGCCGCGCGCACTCAGCTGATAACAGTCAGCTGATTGCCGTTTGTGTAACGCTCAATCGAGCCGCGACCAAAGCCAGAGTGCCGTCCGGTCGCCGCCTGACGGGCCTTACATAAATGGGTGGCCTGATGCGGCAGCGGTGGGGGTTATGGTATCGCTTATGGGCCCGGATAATCCCTGGGATTTGGGTGAGCTCAGGGCTTAGTGGATAATGTCCCATATTGCGTTGTTGGTATGGTTCATAGAACTCCACGAATTCTTATTTTGCGTGAACGAATTCTGGTATAACTTAGTGCTTGTCAACAAATGGTGCTGTGAAGCAAACAGTCATGGGATATATTCCACATAGGTGCGAGTACTCCCGCAGTATTCTGTCACATCCTCAAAACATTCATGGTGGTTTCACCGCCGTAAGCTCATGTTTATTTCATGTTAGCTCATAGTGGGTTCGTGGTCATCACTTTAAACCGGTTCTCTCTAGTCTGAGGAGTTTACCATATCCTAGTCGTGCAAGTACGACGGAGTTGTGGAGGAATTGATGGAGCAACCCTGTTAGTGAGGACAATATTAGTTGTGAGTTGTGAACCGGACTGATAATTATTGTTCCACCGCTAGTCTTCATATGAGTTTATCGTTGCGTCGCCACTAAACCCACATCATCATCATTCATCGCCACCGGGTCCTTTTGGCTCTGTCGTTAGGATATGACAATCCGTCATCCACTGTTTTGGAGTTAAGCTCAGCGCAGTTAGCTTCCCTAGCGGGACGGTGTCTCCCGGTTATGGTCATTGGTCATCCACTGTGCCGCCGCGTGTGTGACGGGACCGCAGGGTCCCGTCGGGACGGACCAAGTCAGGACCGCATGGTCGCCACGGGACGGACCAAGTCTGGACCGCAGGGTCCCGTCGGGACGGACCAAGTCTGAACCGCAGAGTCGCTTCTAGACGGGACTGCAGGGTCGCGGCGGATAGGACCGCGGTGAGATGTACCGCCGGGCCGAATATGGGCCGCCCGGCGTGCTGGGACCGACGCTGGGTCTAGGTAGGTCCATTGGTCCACTGGTCCACCCAAACGGGGCACCGCAGGGCGGCAGCTTTCGACATGCAGATTGGATGGCAGTTGAGGTGCTTAGGAGTTCAGACTGGGGGCCGGTCTGCATGAAGCCTGATACACGAACACATGACCTAGACTACCTTCCCTTTCTCAAGCTTATTTTGGTTTTATGGCTTTGGACACTGGCCAAATGATCAGTCAGCAGTAGGGACCGGCATGAGAGGGTTTGGACTGTGGTGGATCAAGAACTCATTGAAGGTCACAGAGAAAACGAGTAAATAGAATGAAGTCTATTAATTTGTCCTGTGACAGTTCTGAACGAAACGGACTGATCACACCGTCTCCATTTCGAGATGCTCAATTGTTACCGAGAGTTGGTTACCTGGCCCTCGTTTCGCGGCCTTTGCGGTGTGTAGTTCCCTTGTTTCGAGCAGCAGGGAATGAAACAAGGCAAACGACCTATCTATAACCCAAGACGGTCCCTTACTAACCGATTTGTCTCCAACTCTAATCGATCTCTAACGTCGGTCGTTCTCAACGCTAGGATTCCTACCATCTGCGGCGCTGACCTGATCTGGCTCCACCCTGTCTCCGACTGTATCGCCTGGCTGACCGGGCCGGCTGTGGCGGCGGTGACAGACGCTGTGTCGTCGACTCCCGGGCCCGCTTTCACCGGGTCACTGACCTCACCGGGTCGGTCGGTCGGTTAGGATGATGCGGGTCGCCCCTGTACTTCATCCTCGGTGGATTAATGACGACGATGTTGATGGCAATGATAGTGACGATGTTGGCCATGACGATGCGACGAACCCTTTCCGTTCACTTCGACTCCGGAGCTGCAAATGATTTGCCACCCCTGCTGTATAAGTGAGCTGTGGTAAGCTTGCAATATGCCTTTGTGTAATGCGCCCTGTCTCATCAAATCACCGTCATTTCTGATACGACGAAAACACTGCGGAGATGTCGTCCCTCCTGTGCCGTTTTTGTGGTGTAGTCCGCCGGCTGGCTTGTCTCGTTCCAACTGTCGATGTGGCCAAGGTTCTCGAGAGAACATGTGGGCGTCGACGGCCGGTGGGCGGTGGAGACAAACCGTTGGGATACACCAACGGTCCAAGTGTCGGGAGTAATGGGCGGGGCGCGTCTCTCTCTCTCTCTCTCTCTCTCTCTCTCTCTCTCTCTCTCTCTCTCTCTCTCTCTCTCTCTCTCTCTCTCTCTCTCTCTCTCTCTCTCTCTCTCTCTCTCTCCTCATCCCATTGCTCGGCTCCCTGTCTTAGCGATCAGTTGTAATGTGTTGGATAGACGTTATGTCTCCAGGGCATACCGCCCACATGCAACCAACGTGGTCTTGGTGGCGTGCGTGACGGGGGCTGTGGGGCGGCAGGTTATTGATTGCCAATGGGGATTTGAGATTCTGGATACCCTGTGGCGTGTGAGGATTTGGAAGAGGCGTTACTGCTGTGCGTAACTCTCATTCTGTTTTCGAACTGAAGGGGTATGCTACGCGTGATACTAACTTCACGTGACATTGTATTCACGTGACTTGAGTGTTGGCTGGTTTGGTTGGTTGTTTTTGATGGATTGGATGAATTTGATGGATTCAACTTCAAGATTTGAATAACTGGGTGTGGGTGTCAAGTTCAACCACTGTGCTGACTGATTTTATTAATCCTTCCAAGCGGGTATGCTGTAAAACCTATGGATTCGCTGAGTGACAGCCTCAGTCGGCCCAGATTCGACGTCAGGCGCCGTGTAAAACAAACAGTTTGGTCGCTACCACACCCTGGGGATGCTGGCGCCAAACACTGACCGTCAACTGACGACCAGTGACCACGGACCAAGTGACCTGTAACCGGCGACCACCGGCTACTGCCTGGTAACCAGTGACCACGGACCAAGTGACCTGTAACCGGCGACCACTGGCTACTGCCTGGTAACCAGTGACCACGGACCAAGTGACCGCTGACTAGTGCTTATTGGCCGGTCCACTGTACCGGCCAATCCGCGGCCACCACTGGACCTCTGACCATCTACCACTAACTGTTGCCCAGTAACCAGTGGTGACGGGCCCACGGACCAGTCAGTGGCTCCTGACTTCTATCCACCGATACAACTACTCGTCAATGCTATGCTATTGACAACTGACTTGACTGGTGACTGACAGTGACTAAGAACCAAGAAACTAAGACGTTCCAATAAAGTGAGGAGTTGAAATATTTAGTGATAGTCGCGAAGATATACAAGATGTACTGCTAGAACGCCTAGGGGGGGGGGGGTTGTATCAACCCCCCCCCTGAGGTTTTTTCGAAGTGCACGCTAAACGGCTTGTCGTAGCGGGCTGAAATTTTCAATACCCTCTGGGGCAACCTTTGCGCATCTTTTGCCGAAAAAAATTTGATCGGGTCATGTCAGGTCACGGAGTTATGACGTCATAAGAGGTACAGCCTCCGGCCGGATTTTCACAAACTGAGTGCCAACGCCCGAGGTTTCCTGCCGGTGCACACAGCCGCTATTTGAGTTCGGAAGTGGCCAAAATGCGATAACTCGTTAACCAGTTGACATTTTGCCAAGGAATTTTTACTGTATGTGAAGTCAACCGTAAGGTCACATATGGGAACGTATGAGCATCCATGCTGATATATCATTGCCGTAAAAAATATTTTTGCTTGTAATCCGCGGATGACGGGTATATCCCATAACGTGGGTGACTCGGGAGGGGATTCTGCATAGCTTCCCTGCTGTCTTCGAAACTATTCGTTCTAAAAGTTCAAACGGCTTCTGATAGGAAATAGCTGACAAACGAAACCTAACTTTGTCACAAAAGGTCATGGAAAGGTCATGGGTCACAAAAGGTCATGGAAAAGGTCATGGAAGGAAATGTATACATTTTTAAGGTCATGCGACACATCTTTAATGGTCCATTTCGGCAAAAGCATCTAAAGATGATGTTATCTGGGTCGTCCGATTCGAAACTATTTCCATTTGACAAATGAAGTTCAGGTCACGGCGAGGTAAAAAAGGTCAAATTTTGAAGTTGAACATTCTAAAA